GCTAGGATTACAGGTATGTGTCAGCCAACACATTAGGCTCAAATCCAAAGCCAATTTCTGATTAATACCTCAAGATTTTAGGGATGGCAGTATAGTATTTTACTCTGCCAAACCGCTAACTCTCCTAACTATATATGAAATAGAACAGACGTCATTTTGTGGATTAAGCAATTAAGGCTTACAGAGATTTCCTACTTGTCAGCCTGCTAATAAATGCTCATATTAGGATCAGAATCTAGGGTTTTCTGATTGTAAACCTATATTCTCTCTATCGCAACAACTGAAGAAAAGGAGGCAGAGATCATTAAACTATCACTAAGAAAAAATTAGGGCTGAAACAAGGCAGTAGAAACAAGTAAGACGTAACAGTGTCGCTTGGCTTGGTAGCAGATTAAGTGCAGAGTGAGGAAAGAGAATGATGTGGCTGAACAGTCATGACTGAGAGCAGTTTAGGGGGAGGTAGCGGTACCTTGTTTATTCCTTTTTCTCTTTGGGATCCTGTAACTGACTGAGGTATCTGTACTATGATTATTTAAAGACGTCCAGAGGCACTTAGAAATTCAGGATGCTGCCCAGATTATTTGGAATCTGTTGTTTGGGAGCACAAGGGACTTAAACTGAGACAGGCATGCTCTAATTCCTGGATATTGTGCTGTCCTCTGACACTGGCACTTACCTAGTGAGGATTATATGTTCATAATTCTACATGGCGATTATCTTGAGGTTTATAGCCTCAACAGTTTGCTCTGTGATGGTCTTACTAAAAAAGTATTTCTGTCTGTGTAGAGAAATTGCTTTTTTCTTCTTGGTGAAGATAGAAGGAGGAAAAAGGCACCATATTCTTGAAAATATCTTGATTTATTGGTATGATTTAATGTGGAAGTTACACAGAATGTTCAATAAAGAAGCAGTAGTTCAAAGCCAGTGTGTTGAAAGAAAGGAGTTTATACGTGCAGTGTATGGCTGGATGATGCGCCGGTGGTTTGTGCACATGCCTGTGCACAGTTCCTGCTTTGCAGAAGTCTCGTACAAATAGTAACATTGGTAAGATGGCTGTTAGCTACGAGCCAAGAAATTTTATTCAAATAACAAGTCAGAATTTAGTTATTTCAGTGTGTGTGTCATTTTTTAAAGCAAATTATAACTTCTTTCATTAAAAACTGAATTATCGTATAGGCTGGGAATATAGCCCTATTAGAGCACTTGCCAAGTATATATTAATTCCTAGCTTCACTCCCCAGCAACATACACACACACACACACACACACCATGTAGGGTTAAAGTAATGTTTGTACTTGGTGCCGATAACATTGTACCTCATGGGGGCTGGGGATTTAGCTCAGCGACAAAAGCGCTTGCCTGGCAAGCGCAAGGTCGTGAGTTTGGTTCCCGGTACCGGAGAAAAACCAAAAACAAAAACAAAACAAACAAACATTGTACCTCATGATGCATCACAACGTAACAGTTCTTTACGTAATAATATAAAGTATATTTTAAAACCGTAGAGGGTATATTGCTTCTTTTTAAAGATGACTACCAAAATTACGTGTATCTGTACCTGAAGGAGCATGACTTATCCAAAAATGACTTAGATTAGAACCACTATCTCAGATGATCGACAAATACTCACATACTAAGTTGTGAGGGAGTTTAAATCAGGACTCACTTTTTCCAAATGCTTGTAACAGTCTGAACCCATTACTTCATACATAACATGCCCGCAATAGATATAACCAGACCCAAACCTGAGGTCTTAAAGATACAGAGAGGGCACTACAGGAGTATGTATTTATCTGATGCTTTCAGTTTTCAAAATGATTTCAGGTACATGATCTCATTTGGCCTTCAGAACAAATTCGCCCTAGCCTCCTAGGGTGAATTTACCCACAAAGCGTGCCCCGTGCTGTCTTTTGAACCAGGGTTTTGAATGGAGGGGCAAAGTAAAAGAAAAGGGGGCACTATCATTAGAAAGCCTTGATACCAGTAAATAAATGAGCTAACTAATTAGAGATGGCAAGGATAGGGTTAATGAGATTGTAAATGATCAAGATATATTATGTGCATGTACCAATTTTCCCAAAGCAAACCTCTCTATTCTGTATTACTGTTACACACTACCAACCAGAAAAGGTCTTTATACCTACCATGCTCCCAGGTATTAGACTTATATTCCTGATTTTTTTTTTCTTTTTTTAAAGACAGATTCTTCCTGTGTAGCCCAGGCTGGCCTCAAACTCACAGTGATCCTCCTGCCTCAGCCTTCTGAGTGCTGGGATTGTCTACTAACTTTTTCTCAAGCTTCTTTCTCATGTTGCAATACTCATTCCTTTTTCCACAACATTTATCTTTCTGCTTTTGAATCATACCCATCCTTCAAGTCCAAGTACAGATCTTACCTATGAGACCTTCCTGAACCTTCCATGTTTGGAGTGGATCTTTCCACTCCAAACTTCAGAGCACTCAAAAGAAATTAAAAGATGCTCAAGTAGCCACTGGGCATGGTGGCCACACCTGTAATCCCAGCACTCAGGAGGCTGAGGCAAGCCCAAGCCTGGACAACATAGCGAGACCTTTTCAAAAAAAAAGGAGGAAGATGATAAGGATGCTCAGATAGCATTAGGAAGTAACACTCACAGATCTACTGATTCTCCCTGGCTTTGATTACCTAGCTGAATAATAAATTGAAGAAGGAAGCAGAATGGGAAAGGGCTTATGTATTTCACATTGTTTTGATTATTAGGCCTTAAACCTAGTATAAGATATTCGTTGATTAAATCTCTAAAACATGAATTTAGTTTGACTCTCTTTGCCTGTTACTAAGTAATGAAAATTATTTTTACCTGTAGTACTTAGTACTACACTAGTAATTCATGGAAGATAAAAAAATATATAGATGACATAATATTAGCCTGTGACGCTTTAGACTTTTGCTGTCAGTGGTTGTTGATAATTAATTACATCCCAAAATACATGAGTTTTTAGGGATGGCACAAGCACCTGCCCGGCAAGCACAATGTCCTGAGTTTGATTCCCGGTTCCCCCCGCCACACACACACACACAGATGAGTTTTTATGTTAGAGGATTTGGATGTCAGATTATGGGAAGAGCTGTAAGTTCTTTCCCCTCTAGGAGTGAAAGTAAAAGTTGAATGATGGTAGTATCAACTCTAAGCTGTATAATAACTCTCCAACAGTCTCTTTGGAAACATACTACTTGGAATTTCATTTTTGGCTTGTAAGAATGTTACTCATTGAAAAAAATTGCCCTGAAATAACAGGCATTAATTTAAATCAATGATAGTTCATTTTTAGAAGTCTTAGAATTATAAAGTTGAAAGAAACCTTATAGAACATCTAGTCCCATTCCTTTTTTTCAGATGTGGAGACAGCTTGTCTAAATTAGTACAGGTGTTTAGAGACAAAACAGGAACCAGAACTTGGGTTTTATATATATATAAATATAAATATAAATAAATATATATATATATGACTTTACTGTTTAGTTTGTTATGCCTTAACTGAAAGCTTATATATTATTACTGTATTTTCAGTTATTTGCTTATTTTTGTGTTATTCCTACAAAAATAGTCAAGAAAAATCTATCTGTAATTACAAAGAAGAAAACTTAATGACTTGCCTAATGCAACATAACTAGCAAATTAGCAAAGCTAAACCTAGAACCAGGACCTTCCATTTCCTAGTACACTGCTTTTTTCACAGCACTGTACTATTTTTCAAGTTCTAAGTTACTTGGTAATTGCCTTAGTGTTAGTTCTAAATTGCTCATAGAAGGAAGCTCTGTCAGAGTGATAGACTATGCAGGCAGAAGTAGTCCAACCTTCCCTGGCAGCACAGTTTCATTTTCACAGGCATGGTGTTCAGAAACTTGCCTGTATTCCATTTGAAATTTGAATTTACCACTCACTGGAGTTTGAGGCTAGAAGACAATTTCAGCTTAGAATTAAAGATTTGGGAAAAAAAAGATTGGAATTAATTTGTGATAACTGCTTTTAAAATAATAGGATAGCCTTTTTAAAAACCAACTTTTTGCTGCTGCTTAATATACACACAAAAATGTACACAAAATTGTGAGCCTGTGAGTTGGTGAACTTCAACAACTGGACACTGGTGCAGACCCTCTTAGGTTCACGATCACCACCGAGCCAGCCTCCTGGAAACTCCCTTATTCACTCTGTCATAGTTACAATCCTGTTCTGCCACTTCCAGGGTAGCACTGGATCAGGAGAATCTTCTAAAAGATGAGCTCAGATATTCAACTGTCAAGTTTGTTCTTTTTTTGTCTTTGCTACTAATATGGAAAAGATGAAAAACAACAATTTATTCTTAACACAAAAACAGTTGCTAAAGGCAAAAAAGGTTAGAACTTCCCTGTTATGAAGGCATATGCATCAGTTACTATGTAATAAGAGCGCTACTATGGTATGTAAATCTTCCACACTGCTCTGAAAACATCTAAGAGCCTCTGTAAATGACTTCAGTCTTCAGAACAAAGTGCAGAGTGGTCCACACGTGAGAAAGTAGATACTGAGCAGTGTCCAGCGCCCTCACAGCTGCCTCCCCTCTGGAGGGTGCAAGGGAATAACTGCAATGCAGAACTGTGGTGCAGAGCCCCTGGGAGGGGTCTTTTTCTGGATAAGAAGATGGAGTTCTACTATCAATAATTAGAATTACGTGAGAATAATTCTGCAACGTGTTAGATACGCTATTGTTTATCATAACTTAAAACTTGGTTAGCCGGGCTTGGGGGCACATGCCTGTAATCCCAGCACTTGGGAAGCTGAGGCAGGAGGATCGTCGCGAGTTCGAGACCAGCCTGAGCTACAAAGTGAGCTCAAGGCCAGCCTGAATTGCATAACGAGACCCTGCCTCAAAAAGACAAAAAACACAACAACAACAGCAAAAAAAAAAACTTGGTTAAAATCTTTGTGTTTGTGTGTTGATATGTTCCCCATACCACTGACTTCTCTCCTCATTTTAGGACCCCCGAGCAGTGCCCCAGTGTGGTCTCTTTGTTGTCAGAGAGTTACAACCCTCATGTGCGCTACGGAGCTGCGATGGCCCTGGGGATCTGCTGCGCCGGTACAGGAAACAAGGTAAGCCCGAGGCCAGGGGTCTCTTCTTTCCTGGCACCAGACTGCTTGTCTTTGCAGAAGGTTTATGTAGCAGCTGTAAAAGCACGGTGTAGTTTGGTCGGTGAGCCTACCCTCGCTTCATGGCGCTTCCTTCTACTCCCTCACACCACTGTGCTGCCCTGCCTGCCGCCACTTAGGGACAACTGCTGCGTAGAGGGACTCACAAGATGATGATCCTTGAATTTCCATTTGAAACTATGGACACCATCTTAAAAGAGGGAGAAAGAGACAGAGAACAAAGTTAGTCACTTTTTCTTTAAAGAATTTCTCTGGTTATTTTTACATGGCATTTTCAATGTGTAATTAGTGTTGCTGAAATCAAGGTTCTATGAACCCACCAAAATCAGCTCATTTGATAGCATTTCTGTTTTTTTGCCTTTTTTTTTTAATCTCTAACCTTAGTGGTGACCTGGTATTTGTTAAGCCCTCAAAAGTTATAAAATAAAAAGTTAGGTTAGGCAATACGTTGAGATTCATGAAGAAATCCATTATTGCTTAAACAAGAGGGTTTTTTTCCCTCTATACTTTACATTATTTAGAATAGAGTCCTCAAAGTCAGATTCACTTCTTTTTCTTTCTTTCCTTTTTCCCCTTGTGAGGGTTAAATGCAGGGGTTCACACATATCAGGCAACCACACTGCCACTGAGCGACACCCCCAGTCCTAGAAGCTGGAGTCTTGTTTCATTTCTAGAGTGGATGTGGACTGGCCCAGAATGTTTTCTTTTTTTTTTGTTGTGTTTTTTTTTTTGTCTTTTTGTCTCTTTGAGACAGGGTCTCTCTGTACAGTTCAGAGAGAGTAGCCCAAGCTGGCCTCGAACTCACAACGATCCTCCTGCCTCAGCCTCCCGAACGCTGAGATTCAGAATATTTTCTTAATTTAACTGATACATTTTAAAATGCATGTATTAATTGGGGGCCGTGTGATGTTTTAATACATGTGTACACGCCATAATGTTTAGATCAAGTTAAACATACCAGACTCTTCAAACACTTATCATTTCTTTATGGTGGAAGTATTTAGAATCCTAGCTTTTTGAAATACATAGTACTTAAGTGTTATCTATAGTTTGGTACGCTAGAACCTCTTCTTATTTAACAGCAACTTACAACCCATTGATCAGCCTTCCCCTTTCCCCACCCCTCCACCCAAGTTAATCAACAGTTATTCTTGATATAAAACATTGACATAATCATCAGATTTTGCCTCTCCTAGCAGATATGCACATACTTCGGCCACATCTTGGGGTGTGTGTGTCTAAGAGAGAACATAGTTACATTTTTGGGGTCCAAGAAAAGAGTCGCTTTTGTTATCCAAACTGAAAATATAATGTACATTTATTGATTGATTCTGAGAATTTAAATTTGAATCAGCTTGACTTTTTCTCTAACAAGGGCTATTAATATTAAATGCAAATAGCTTTTTCTAGTCACATATTATTGAAACTATGACTAAAAAATAGATTTTTTTCACTACGTGTGGCAAGAAGAGATAAGAATTGACAGATACATTGTCCCCTTCCAATTATAAGCCGTTCTTTATCTTACCCTGCTTCTTCTTCGTAGCACTTACCACTACCTGACAAAGTTTTTTGGCATTTTACCTATTGTGTTAACTCCCTTCGCTGAAATACAAGGTCCCTGAGAGCAGAACGTTCACTGCTAGAACCGAAAATCATACCGGTGCCTAGCAAACCCTCAGTGAACATTCGTTGGACAAGTGATGAGTGGCAAGACCCTTTAGGTGTGAAGGTGCCAAGCACTGCCTCCGCCCTCACAGGAACTTCAGCTTTCGGGGGAGAGGCTCTTACGTAAGAATTTACCTTCAGGCTGAGGCAGGAGTATCGCCACAAGTGCGAGGCCAGCCTGGCTACATAGTGAGTTCAAAGCCAGCCTGAACTGCATGGCAAGACCCTGTCTCAAAAAACAAACAACAAAAATTCAGTTTTATTAGCAAACTCAGAAATTGACTTTGAATTCTTTCTAGGGCATATCTGTTCTGTAAACAAAGGAAAAAATATAGTTGGATATTTTACCAAGTATTTCCCCTTCAGGTCTTTAGTTGACATTTGTGTTTGGCCTCATAAGTTAAATATAAATTGAATTTTTTTTTCCAGATTATTCTAAACTTAATATGCTATCTGGAGCAAATGTTCTTTGAAACACAGCATCTGACAAGTTAATTCAATGAAAAATTTGTATTACTCATATACAAACAAGTCTGCTTTATTTCTAAATAATTTGTGTGATCTAGGTATCAGTACGTATCCAACTGAGGTTTGTTATTTCTTAAAAACCTAAAATATCAGTTTATTCTAGAATATATTTTTAACATTATATTAATTACTTTAGAGGCAAGTTATTATGAGTTAGAAATTTTGTTGTATTTTTGTCATGACTACTTGATGTTAGCAATATGTTTGAAAACATACTCCTCTGCATCGTGTTTGTCATGCAGTAGGAGGAAAGGGTGCATGTATCTGGCATGTATTATCCTTTAATAGCAATGATTAAAAATGTAGAAGTCACATGTTAGAGGAGTCAGCTTAGTTTAATCTTCCTTTTCTTGGACTTGGAATGAGGGTTACTGAATTAAGAATTAAGTTTGATGGTCTTGTAAACTCATTCCTCTGGTCCTTCCAGATTTACTAAGGAGCTTATAGAGAAATTGGATTGTAAAGTGACATCCCCCAAATAGAAGGATATTAATAGGAGCTATTTGGGCCAAAAAAGTTCTTTGTTATGCAATGGACAAACAATGCACATGGTTTTTATTTTGGGTGGGTTTTATATTGGTTCTTTTATAAAGTAAGACTTTGTAAAATTATAAAGATAGTACTTTGCACTAGTATTTGAAGGGAATTGAATACATAATTCAGGTTTTGGAGCTGGTCTGGGTTTGCTACTTAATGTGATTTTGGGTGAATTACTTAACCTTTAAAATGCCCAGATTCTTTGTTCATAAAGATTACTTTCTGTCAGTTATTATTGAGCTTTTAGTTTTTATGATTAATAGAATTACATGGGATAACACAAATAAAATACCTAGTACTATGCCAGAAAAATAATAGGTACTTGACAACTGTTAATATAAATTTTCTCTAAATAGTTTTTCTCTCATGGTTTCTTTATGACCTCGTTTGCCTAAAGAACACTCAGCTTTTAAGGCTTTCTTTTTATTTATATTAAACATTTTGAAACTTACTTTAAACTACTTAATTTAAGTAGTCTTAAATTAACTTGTTAGTACCTTTTTAGATGAAAATACTGATTTAGAATGAGAGTAACTAATTTGAAAATTTAGCCATATCAACTAAGGGTTTTTGCTTTTAAAATCCTTTCAGGAAGCAATTAATTTGCTAGAACCAATGACAAATGACCCTGTGAACTACGTGAGGCAAGGGGCTCTCATAGCTTCAGCGCTCATCATGATCCAGCAGACTGAAATCACATGTCCGAAGGTGAGCGAGCCAAGAGATCCTTTGCAAGACAGCCTGTTTCGGCTTTTCTTTAGTAACCTACCTTCTTTTGAATACAATTTTGTCTCACGTATGGTACATGCTGAAGAAACAGGAAGAGACCATGTTAGTGGTAAGAAGATGGGAAAACTTGAACTATATCATATCCTTTAAGTGTACTTTTTACAGGGTTCTTGTCACTTTTTAGCATATAACCATACTTTAAAAATTGCAACACATAGGGTGGTGAAATCATAAAGTCAGCTTTTCTTGCTTTTTGCTATCCTTTTAAACTATATTCAACGGAATGTTTTATTACTGTGATACAGGATACAAATTCAAATAGTCCATGACCTTCTACCCATCATCCTGACACAAAAGTCCTGCAGTCACTTTCCACAGTATGTATAGTCTCAGTTTAAAAGTGAGCATGGCCACATTCTCTGCTGGCACATCAGCCCTCCTGGGTGATCCTCTTGGGCAGGCTTACAGATGGCTCCACCTGACCACACCTGTCCACAGAAACACTCTTGCATATTCCACCCTCCTCCTGGGTAGAGGTGCAACAGGCTGTCCGTGCTAGTGCTTCAGCTGATTGCCAGTTTAGCCTCTCACTTTCTACATGGGACATTGGTACCCAGTGACACCGGCTCATATGGAGGGAGGGGGAAAGACTTACAGCCCTCCTTTCCTCAGAGAACCTCCTCACACATCCTCTGCACTCCTCACCTGCCTCTGGAGAACTTATAACAGACTTCGAAGCACCTATTTAAACTCTCCCTCGTGGCAGTTTCTAAGACTTCCTATCAATGTTTGATATTTAAACAGCCTTGCATTCTGCTTGTATTTGGGAAACAGTCAAAAAACTGATACAGGAACAAACCATTGACATTCTGTCTTTTGCCTCATCAGTCACTTATTAGAACTGCCTCATTTGCAGCCTAGTATATTTGGGGAGGTCCAAAAGAACAACAAAAGTACCGAACTTACTTACTTGTTTATTTATTTATTTATTTATTTTTGGTTTTTGGTTTTTTTTCCGGTACTGGGAATGAAACTCACGACTTCACGCTTGCCAGGCAGGCACTATGCTGCTGAGCTAAATCCCCAGCCCCTGAACTTATTTATTATTCGTTCTAATTTTATAGATTTTGGAAATAAATGTCAGTTTCTAAGCTGCAGCTGCCGTTTGTTTGATTTATTATTCAGTGTTTCTCTCTCAAAATTATTTTTAAGACTGCCAAAATTTGTATTATTACACAAATAAAATCTTGTTCTTTGTCTTTTTCTATAGTAAGCTGCATAATATACCATATCTTCTAGAACATAAACATCTTTCCAAAAATATACCACATTTCTTTGTTTCTAAGTAGAGCAGCAGCATGAATAGCTTTTATTCCTGCTTTGATCTTCCGTTGAGCTTTTGGAGGTTGTCCAGCTTAGTAATATCATTAAGGAAGCAAATCTAGGCTATGGAATGCACTGCTTTAAACAGTCATGTATAGATACTCAACTTTGCACTCACTTGTTGCTTTCATGTTACTTATATTGTCCACAAAACATGTTTTACCATCTTCCCATCCTTACTGTAGGATTTCATGAATTTTTACAGCCATAACCTCAATTCCCAACAGCGGCAGAATCCTTTGAGGGAAAGATTGGGTAGGCTGTATGGTGTGAAAACATTCAGTCTAAGAAATTCCACATTTGGAAAGAGTGTAAAAGTATAGCAGTTTATTATTTTTTTATCATTGCAAGTTACATTGAATGACTCCTAGCTAGTGTGAGTACATTATCTTTGGGTTGTATCAGTCTTGAGTTCTAATTAAAAATGTTACTACACTTGATCTTAGCCAAAAGGCCGAGAAGTGATTGATTAAAAATATTGAAACGGGGCTGGGGATTTAGCTCAGCAGCAGAACGCCTGCCTGGCAAGCACAAGGTCATGAGTTAGATTCCTGGTACCAGAAGAAAGACAGAAAAAACAAAAAACAAACAAAAAAAGAGTATGTCCGCTTAGCTGGGCTTGGGGATTTAGCTCAGCAGCACAGCGCCTGCCTGGCGAGGACAAGGTTGTGAGTTCGATTCCTGGTACCAGAAAAAAATACAAAAAAAAAATGTTGAAATGAACTCACTGCTGGTAGCCTTTGCCACTAATACAAATTGGATGGGCAAGTGTAAACATGTATCCACTGGCTGCAGAAGTGAAACTGTATGTACAGTTAAGTCTCAAATGTTCTTTCAGGTAACACTGTGCCTTACAGCAAAATTGCTATTCAGCTTAATTAAGTTCAAGCTCTATTTCCTCGACTTCTGTTTTTTGTTTTTGTTTTTGTTTTGAGACAGGGTCTCACAATGTAGTGCATGTTGTCCTTGCGCTCACTATGTCGCCCAGGCTGGCCTTGAACTCATGAGGACCTTCCTGCCTCAGCCTCCCAAGTGCTGGGATTACAGACATGCGCCACAATACCCAGCCAACTCCTGTTATTAAGCAAGTGACAAAGAACATCATGGACTCCATTTTATATCATCTTTATCTGATAATTGCCAATAAGACAAAATTAATGTTCTTGGAGTGATACGGGATATTTTACCACAAAGAAAAGTCTATTAACCTCTGAAGAAAAGTAAATTCTCAAGTATATGGAGTTCAGATATAGTTGCAGGTTTACAAACCAGTACATGAAATAAAATAGAAACAGCTCACAAGCAAATATCAGACATTAATTTCATCAAGGACTGTGACCACACTCCCCCTACTCAGAGGAATCTAAAGGAGAAATTCTTACTTTGTGAGATTCACAATGGAAATCTCCAAAGGAAATGTCTTTGTGTAATCATTAATGTATGTCACATCCCTAGTACTTAGCTCTATAAACTATATCCTTAATTTAAGAAACTACAGTATATTTTGCTTTGATCCCTTACTCTCATATCTAACGGTAGATTTTTATTTTTCCAGAAGTATAAGGTATAGAGTTTAGAACATGATAAATATTAAAAATGCATTACTTTCAAGAAGGTGGATTTTAGACATTTGTACACAGTGGAGCACAAGGATCACAGCATAGCCTGAAATCTTAATTGCCTTGTTTCTGAGCTTGTAAAATGGAAAGTCGAGGCTAGGGATGTGGCTCAGAGGTAGGCCCTGAGTTCAGTCCCCAGCACAGCAATAAAGAAAAGAAATGGGAAGTTAATATTATTTTCTCCAAGGAATTCTACTTTTTGTTTTGTGAGCAGGGCTGCACTGTCCTTAACAATAAAATTGAATCAGAAAATCATGATTTTTACACTGATTACCATTTGTTTATGATGTTCCGGAAATTGTTGTCTCACCTGTCTTATGTCAGTCTTCCTATCTATAAAATAAAAAGAGTAGACCAGGTGTTTTCCAAGTTGCCTTCCAAATTTAAGATGCTCTCCTGATCTACTAAAATAATAATTCTTTGCCAGTAATAATGAAAATTAAGAAATAAAACAGCAGGGAGCTTTTTAAAATGATAAAAATGCTTTTAATTCAATTAAAGCCTATAAACATATTAGGCTGTTATATATTTGCATTGACTTTTTTAAAAAAATCTGTCTTAATTTTACTAAATGCTTTCCTGTTGTTTGGGGTATTGTTTATATTTAAATTCTCCTCTGTAATGCACATACAGAGCATTGTCCATTGTTTCTTTTTATAAATTCATGAAATATTTCAAAAACCTTTAGGACATAAAATTTCCATCCTATATAAGGTAATGTTAAGTGTTCATCTAAAATAAGTTCAGAATCAAAGGAACCAGAGTAAAAATATCAAACTTCAGCATTTCTAAAACTGAAAGGAAATATAATGATAATAATGCTGCATTTTGTAGTTAAAAGAAAGTAAAGCCTGGAACTAAATGCCTATAAATGGTCATGAAGTAGGTAGTGACAGAGTTAGTTCATTATTTTCCCCACTGTTTTGTTGTTGCCTATGAATCAAATAGGAGAACCGTGCTTAAGGGACATTATTTTGTTAGCACTGTGGAAGGACTGGTAAGATCCTCCTGCCATAGGGCAAGACAGCCATGCCTCTGGAACTGTGAAATGCCTTTACGTGTTACATGGCGAGTGTGTAACCTCAAACAGTCCTTAGCCCAGCCTGGTACGTGGCTGCCATGATCCCCATGACGATGAAGAAACTAAGACTCAGAAATGCTAAGGCAGAGATACTCAGAACGCAGATCTGGTTCTGCTACTCTGCCACTATGTCACAATGTGGTCAGACCAAGACACAAAGAGGGCAAGAGATTCTGAGACAATGTGTGCTGCAGGTAAAGTCATTATATTAGGAAACTCAAATTTGGTGTTTTCTGCTTTTGGCAGATTTGGGGAGCTCCATGATCATGTACTTCTTGAACAAGCAGACTTCTTCCTGGGTGCCTACCATTTGAAAAGCACTGTTGGGAAAACGAAGTGTAAGACATGGAAGGAGCATAAAATAGTTTCCTTATTGCCACCAAACAGATTTAAATGAATCACTTAATTTATTAAAAAGATTTTATAAATATTTTAGTAAAAACAAAACATTAATTAGAAGGTACAGAAAAGAGAAAGAAGTAAACAAAACTTCCCAGTAGTTTCACCCTAAATGAGTCAACATATTTTCTGTCTTGTTGTGTTCCTGTTGGTATGAGTACTTATTCTTACAAGTCCTCTGAAGGCTAATGTGTACGCAGGAGAAAAATCTTCACTGTGTAGAAGAATACAGTGACCTCACACAGCTCAGTGAGGCAGTTCACTTTACAGGGGAACTGAAGTCTGTACCTGTTAGGAAGTCTGCAGTGCTGACAGTAAGCAGCAGAGCTATCATTGGAAGTCTGATAAGGGCCTGAGTTGGCTGGGATGGGTAGGCCTGAGTGATGCCGAATGAAATTGCGTTCAGCATTCCCTTGAGCCTGAATCATCCCCCATGGAGTGGGGATTGAAAACAGAGCTGGTGCTTCCACACCAGCACAGTCAGCACCCATGACTCACGAATGGCACTCTTCTGCTTCGTGTCTGGTCATCTTGCTCTGTTTTTGAATGTTGGGAATCAGAATTGTCTCCTTGCCATTTGAGCCACTTACTGGCTGATCTGAAATGGCATAGCAGATGAATAGAATGAGACTTTTTTTCTTGTTTTTTGCAGGTGAATCAGTTCAGACAGCTGTATTCCAAAGTCATCAATGATAAGCATGATGATGTCATGGCCAAGTTTGGCGCTATTCTGGCCCAGGGCATACTAGATGCAGGTAAATGGTTTTCAGTCTTCCGGTGTATTTATTTACTTAAACAAAATCCAATCAAATAACTAATAAATGTTCTAGCTATGCGACACAGTGGAAATTGAGTCTAAAGCAAATTATTCCTAGAGAAAATTTGGAATCCACAGTTCATAGAGATAATTTAGGTATAGTCATTAAGAGTATAGACTATTAGTTTAAACCCTCGTTCCTTTATGTTACTAGATGAGTAGGTTTGAGAAGTTTTCCCCACCCCCTTTCTGCTTTCTTGTTAGTCTGCGTGATAGTGTTGGGAGGATTAAAAATATACAGACAGGAGCCAGCCTGCCTGGCAAGTGTGAGGTCCTGAGTTCAATTCCTGGTACCCAAAAAATAACAAATTTCAAAAATATACAGACAGCATTTTGAATAATGCCTGTCGTTTAGTAAAGTGCTCATTGAATGTTGGCTGATTTTTTTTTTAATATCTTAGTATATGTTTTAAATAAGTTGACATTAAATTTTTTATTGTTTTTGTTTTTTGGTTTTGGGGGGTTTTTTGTTGGTTTTGTTTTTGTCTTTTTTAAGACAGTGTCTCACTGTATAGTTTAGGCTAGGCCTGAACCCACTTTGTAACTCAGTCTTGCCTCAAACTCAAGGCAATCCTCTTGCCTTAGCCTCCCAAATACTGGGATTACAGGTGTGCACCACCAGGCCCAGCAAAATAATTTTTTGTGGAAAAAATGTTAGACAAATTCTATCAGCTAAAATAAGATACATGGAATATTTGCCTAATAAATGTACATCATACTGGGCCTCTGGCTCCAGAATTTACACACGTTCCCGCTATACTATGACCTATTTTTAAAGATAGAATGATTTTTTTAAAAATATTTTAGACTTGGTATTAGTTTGATGTATTTTTTTTACTGTATTGTTGGTGACATCCCAAAGAGGTAAAAGGAAAAAACATAAACCTACTTCGTTGTTCCCATGTGTGACACTTACTTTATCCTGGCAGTGTAGAATGCAACCCTTTTTAATAATTTTCTGCTAACTTGAAAGATAAGGATAGCACCTCAAGGTTCTATGGCAGTTCCATTATTAGCTGTAGTTCTGCCATTTCTAGAATGTCACGTAGTTGGAATCATACAGTATGTTGCCTTTTTAGGACGACTTCTTTGATAATGAATATTTAAAACAGGATTTAAGAGGAACGTTTTACTGCATAGTCCTTTTTCTTTTAGTTACCACTTTTAGAAGTTTTATTTTTTTAGACAACAATTTGTTTTACTTGCTTATTCAGCCCTACAAGTTTTTACTGCTTTTCACATTGAAGTTAAGAATTTGGAGAGAATTCTGCATTCCAGCTTATTTTTACCATCTTTATTAGAAGTCACCTCTCCTTTCCTTCCTTCCTTTCTCTTTCACTCTCTTTGCGGTATCATGGGCCAATTAAGTTCTGATGCTTCTTTTCCTGTCTGTTCGTAATGATTTTTGCTTTGTGTATTTAGTGCATAAAATTATTCTCATATTCTTTTTCACTACCCTTCTCTAAAACTGTGCTATAACTTCATTAGAAAAATATTCAGTCCTGGTCTCTGTTTCTTAGTAAAGCTGAGAGTAGAGAAACTGGAGAGAGCAGCTTCAAAAGGAAGAAGTTGAAGTTTCTGAGAACTTAAATGATTTGGCCTCAGGGAAAGGCAAAGACCAAGGAAGTTATTATTGACATCTGTTAAACTAATTACTGTCAATAGGATAAACTGTCCCTTGTTCATTAAATTTCTGAATATGAGAGCAGAAAACTAGTTTAAGTCTGAAGAAGATGGATTTCATTGAAATGAAAGAAAATCAGCTGCAAATCTTAGACCAAATAGTACACTTGCTAGGCAGCCTTTCCGTCTTCTGCCCGCCCAGCCCCACCGCTGGGTGAGATACCGTGCTGAGTCCTGTGTTCCCACTAATCCAGCTTAACAGCTGTCCGTACTTCCATGTCTTACTTTTATTATTCAAGTACCTGTCTTCTCTGCCTGACCAAAGATTCTTTGGGATCTTTTCCAATATTTTGTTCCCATTTCTCAATAGATTATAAGCATTTAGTGAACGTTAAGGAGAGTGTAGGTTGGGGCTGGGGATTTAGCTCAGAGGCACAGCGCCTGCCTGGCAAGTGTGAGGTCGTGAGTTCGATTTCCAGTTCCAGAAAAAAACAAAACAAAAAAAAGGAAAGTGTAAGCAGATAATAAATGTATATAATTATAGAAGAATAAAATATACTGACCTTTTCTTCCAGGTAAGAATCTTAAATGAGCTATTGTGGAATACTTTTTAAAATCTTGATCAGTTTGAACAGTAAACTCTTAGCTCTTAAAATGCTGTTTAGCTTGGTACTGAGATGAGTAGGCGTGACGCGTAAGGGACGGGGATCCAGCGGCAGAGTCCAAATGAGGGTCCTGAGAGTAGGCACAGACAAGCTCCATGTTTCTAGGCTCTATCACTTAAACTGAAAGATTTGCACCTCAGAGTTCTGTAACGCAGAATTAACACTGTTGATTCTAGAACAGACCTTGCCACACAGCAGCCCATGGGCCATGTCTGACAAAGATGTGTTCTGTTTTCACTTCCTAACAAAATGTGCAGTATTTGAAAAAAAAATACAAATTAGAACCTCCTGTTAAAATGACCTAACAACCCTGGGCCCGCAGTGCTGGTGATACATCCCCTTTAAATAGAACGCGTGTTTTCCATGTTGTTTTCATCCCCGCTGCTTCCAGCTCATTCCTTTCTCATTGGTTTACGTCATCCAGAAGGCAAGTTTGCAGCCCTAGTGGCCTCCTGGAATCACAGGGCCTCAGGGCTCAAGGATGCTCCAGCTCAGGACTTTGGTTTGCTGGGCATAGGTCTGCTTCTCTGCCCTCTCTAGAGGTGTGGGGGACATGGTGAGTCGTAGGAAGGTCAGGCTCCAAAGCTGTGCACACTCCCACAGGCCAGACTTTTGGTGAAATAATGAGCTCTAATTTAGTCATTAAACATAACTGTGTTTTCACAGAAAGCTTTTAGTTGAATCATGTATTAGAAGTTAAAATTTTCCTTTTGTAGTGGTAGTGCCGAGGTGCTCAAGTTCAAACCCTCATTTTGCCAGTGAGGAAAACTCTTAGAAGTAAAGTGATTGTCAGTGGTCATAAAGTGAGTTAATGTCAGTGCCTAGCCATGTAGGTGATTTCATAATTCCCAGTTAATCCCTGTGCTTAGATTTTTCTTTAACTGCAATATGGATTTTCATAACTATTATAGGTATTTTTCAGATAATTTTTATGCTGCTTAGCACCTAAAAGAACAAGAGTCTGAAAATATATTTTTATAGATATGAATATAAGTATGTATATTTCTGCACTCAAATGTAATTAACGCACATTTATAAAGAACAAAACTAACAGTATTTCCCCTTTCTGCTATCCTTTGCAAATATGAAAAAAATTTTATTAGCATATTAAAAGCCAGTATATAATGTAGGTTAGTATTTAGCATCACAATTTTGATACCCATGGGCTTAGTTTTTACAGTATCTGCCTATAGAGAAAGAAGCCGTAGATTTGCCCTGTGTCCAGCTATAGTACTTCCAGTTTGGGAGACCATAGATAGCTCTCTAATTCTAGGGGTTCCATATATGATTATATAAACTGCAGATTAAAGTAATTACCAGCTGGTTCCCTAGTGCAATACTTAGAAGTGCTTATTATTGCCCTACTGAATTCCTGTTCATGTTTTCTCTTTTTTCTACAGGTGGCCATAATGTCACAATCTCCTTACAGTCCAGAACTGGGCACACTCACATGCCTTCTGTGGTTGGTGTCCTTGTCTTTACCCAGTTCTGGTTCTGGTTTCCGCTCTCACACTTTCTGTCATTGGCTTATACCCCTACCTGTGTCATTGGCCTTAACAAGGATTTAAAGGTATGTGTGCGAGGTCTCATCTTGGTAGTGTATGCTGTTCATATTCACCCCCACCCCCGCTCCCAAAGATTCCCATGAAACTTTCAAGATCTCTTAACTCCATAGCGTATTTTCCCCTCCAGTTGAATCATCACCTTTGAGTGGAATGTGTTGGTGGAAGTTTTGAAAGATCAAGTCTCCTTATTAGTTGTATAATTTTGGGATGGTTAGAAAGGGGACTGAATATAAAGAAATGAGCTTTTATAGACCACTCTGAGTGATTTTATCTAATTGTAAAGCTTGTGAGATTTGGGTATGGTGGCACACACCTATGATCCCAGCACTTGGGAGGCTAAGTGAGGCAGGAGGATCGCTGAGAGCTGGAGGCCAGCCTAGGCTACATAGTGAGTTCCAGGGCAGCCTGAACTACATAGCGAGACCCTGTCTCAAAAAAAACAAAAAATGCCTTGTTATATCATTGTTTATCTGCTTATTGCATTTATTCGATACATGAATCTTTAAATTAAAAGGGGTGGGGCTGGGGATGTAGCTCAGTGGCACAATGCCTACCTGGCAAGCGTGAGGTCCTGTTCAATTCCCAGTACTAAAAAAAAAAAAAAAAAGAAAGAGAAAGGCTATGGAAACTTGTGAAGGATTTCAAGCAGATAAATTACATGAGGTTTGCATTTTAGAAAGATCATTCTGGCTGGGTGTGGTGGCGCAGGCCTGTAATCCCAGCACTCAGGAGGCTGAGGCAGGAGGATCATTGTAAGTTTGAGGCCAGCCTGAAGTGCATAGTGAGGACCTGTCTTAAAAAGATCATTCTGGTATCATTGGAAACCTATTAATGTTACTGCAAAATTACTGCTATAGCAGTAATCTGGGAAAGGAAGAATGAGGACCTAAACTAAGTCTTTAACAATTAATAAGGAATGGGACTGCGCATGGTGGCACATACCTATAATCCCAGCACTCAGGAGGCTGAGGCAGGAAGATCACCCTGAGTTGACTATCCTGGGCTACATCCTGAGTTCAAGGCCAGCCTGAACTGAGACCTCATTCCCCCCCAAAAAAAAATTAATAAGGAGTAAAAGTTTGAGACAAATACATAGTTCAGAGTTATGTGATCCTGGAGCAATTGACAGAAGAAAGAGTTATACTTCAGGAAAAAGCAAAATAGGAGTATGTCTCTTTGGTAGTGGCAAAAAACAAGACCCACTGTAAGGAACCAGAGACTCTGCTGAAATGAAAGTTACCACTTGGGCCCAAGACTTTCAGCACTGTGTGCCCTGTCATCACTGATTGGGGCCCTCTGGTGTGTGGGGACAGGCCCTTCACACTGAGGTACATCCCTGGGCCTCTTTAATAGTTTTTATTTTGAGACAGGACCTCACTGAGTTTGCTAAGTTGCTGGCAGTGGGCTTGAACTTCTGACCTTCTTGCTTCAGCCTCCCAAAAGGGCTGGGATTATAAGGGTGTGCCACCATACCTGGCTCACATTTGAGAGGGAGGGTGTACCAGGAATTGAACTTAGGACCTTGTACTTGCCAGGCAAGAGCTGTGCCACTGAGCTATGTCCCTGGCCCACCTTTTTTTTAACTGTGTGTTTTAATGTGGCTTGTGTTAGGTCTTTCTGAGTCCTGTGACCTAATGATTCACTTTCTTAAGGTCAAAGACATTTTAACCTTTAAATAACTCTTCTATCTGGTCATCACTGTTGTTAAAATGTCCTGTTAAGTGTTCAGAGTGGAAAAATTTTGGGCAAAGACATAGCTGATTGAATATTTCATCATATTGATTTTTTTCATTGTAGCCCTTTGGCAACCAGTTGTCCTTCGTTAAGTTTTTCAATATTAGAACTTTACATTTGTAAATATTTAACATTTTTATTTCTCAAAACAAGAATATTTCTGTTTCCTGCCCCTAACTTTTAACAGTGTAATTGAACATCCTGTGTAATCTTTGGAGGCTTTTGTCCTCTGCCAAACAGTTGTATGTTCTCTGTTTTCATTCTTCACAATGAAAGTGAGGTGAAGAAGATTGGGTTCTTTCCCCTAGTGAGTTTGGTAAATACCACTCTCCATCAATGCAAATTAGGGAAATAGAGAAAAATGCAGTCTGAAGAAGTTTCTGCTTTCTCAGTAAGTGAAGTTAAGCTGACTTCTGCCTTAGGCTCACATTAGACCTTTCCCTGGTATGATTATATGGTGGGAAAGCTGTATACAGACTGGTATGTGAGTGCAGGGTGGTACAAGGAAGGGATAGGCAGTCTGGCTGCTGGAATGGGTAATGAGGCACTCTACAAAGAAGGGGCAGTTGATTTGATGCTCACACCATGAGTAGGACATGCCTGCTCAGAGACACAGAGCTGCAGGAATATGCAGGGGACTACAGTTAATTCTGTAAAGTGCCTAAAACTAATTTGATAAAAGAAAATAGATACCCTTCAGAGGAGTCATTATCATTGAATAGTTCTGTAACCAGATGCTTAATCGGCATGGACTTCAGGTTTGCATGTATATGCTGTTTAGAAGCACAGAAGTCTTAAATCTTGATATTGATTATTTTAATGGAGGAGGCAAAAAAAATTTCTTTCTTCAGATGCCGAAGGTTCAGTATAAATCAAACTGTAAACCATCCACATTTGCGTATCCTGCACCTCTGGAAGTACCAAAAGAAAAAGAAAAGGAAAAGGTAGGTCCTTTGTTCCTGTGAAGAGCATTTGTTCTTATATAGAGGAGCTCCTAGATGTTCTAGTGGTTTGTTTTTAAATAGGTTTTGTTGTTTAAAAGTATGACCAGCCAAAATGCTGTGATTAACAGCTAAGGTGAGTGATGTCATCCACATGCCCTTGCTACTACTGGATCAGTATTAGCCTGGCAGCTGTACTTCTAGTTTTGACCCACGGTGTACCCACCTTGTGATTTTGCTGTATAAAACTTTCAGAGAAGTGAGCTCATTGGCAGTCCATTCAGGATCCCTCCTGTCTCTCAGAAACTATTCCTATTCCCCAATAAATTTTTACCAGTGAAAAAGTATTACCAGTCAAATCTAACACCACACAAGAATATAAAGTAAGAGGCTTTTCCTCTCTTGGTTACCCAAGTTCCATGTCACAGGAGTCACAACTTGTGAATCCCCTAGGTTTCCTCAGTTCGTGGAACCACTTACTGCATGCTGTTCTACAACTTACTATTCCATTCTCACATCTGTGTTTAATACTTTCAGTTTATATGGGTTTCTTTTTTTCTCCAAAGCTGCATTGTTTTACCAGTTCCTTATTTGATATACATTTAAGGGTGTTCCTAATTTGTCACTGCTGTAGGTAGGCCATAATGAAAGCCTCTATACATGCATGCTTATGCGCTTGTGCAAGTATACCTGTAATTAGAATTGTAGGTATGGAGGTGCTTGACCATAAGTAATGCACATTATTTCTTTTCATAGGTGTTAAGTAATCAGCCTTTCGAAATGGCTGTCACCAATTTATACTCCTGCCATGTACAGTGGCACTCACGGGTACACGTTAAAGAACAATGCGTTTAGAGAGCTGCGCTTACCCATGAAGTTCTACTCAGCAAAATTACCCTTCATGACACCACTGTACAGAAAGAATTCCTTCTTATAGAATAAGGTTTTGGGCCGGGGATATAGCTCAGTGTATAAGCGCCTGCCTGGCAAGTGCAAGGTCCAAAGTTTGATCCCCGGTACCACCAAAAAAAAAAATAGAATAAGGTTTCATATTTGACAATTATTGGTTATTGCTACAAATTTTATGTGTAAATAGGGATGATTGTGTAACTGACCAAGTTGAAGGTAGCAGGTAATGAATACCCTCTGACACCAGCACCTGTCTGGTCAGCTGTGTTTCAGAACCATCTTTCGGGTCTAAAACAGCCAGCGTCTACACCAGTATTGCCCAGTTTTTCAGAGTCCCTGTTTCACCTTTGATTTCAGCGAAATCCCATCAAGAAAGATCATTCCAGGCCAGTCCTGGTGGTACATGCCTGTAATCCCAGCACTCGGTAGGCTGAGGCAGGAGGATCATTGTGAGTTCAAGGCCAGCCTCGGCTACAGAGTGAGCTCAAGACCAGCCTGAACTCCATAGCAAGACTTTGTCTCAAAAAGACAAAAAAAAAAAAAAAAAAAAGATCATCCCAGGCAAACTATTCACCCACTGTGTATTACAGTTACAGGTCATCTGGTCATGAGAACACCTCTAGGACCAGAACTGGAGGAAAATTTTTAGGCTTTCCAGGCTTTCCCTGTAAAGCAAGAGAGGGTATAACTTCCAGACTCCTATTTTAGACATACATGATAGCAAATTCACACTGGGGATAAGCTACAGATGAGAATAAGGTGTTATGTTGGAGACAGCCTCCAAGCGCTAAAGAGCCTCATGATGGTGGTGAATTATGTAAATAAATGTTGTCCTGGCTTTTCCCACTTACTTTCTGCTTATTTTGTTTTTTAAAATACTGCCAGAAAACAAGAAATTATTGTTGGACTTAGTTTTCCTTGTGCTTGTTTGTTTGAAGATAAGAAATTACAACAAATTTACCCTGTTCTTTTTCTCTAGGTTTCCACTGCTGTGTTATCTATTACTGCCAAGGCTAAAAAGAAGGAAAAGGAAAAAGAAAAAAAGGAGGAAGAGAAAATGGAAGTGGTAGGTATAACTTGGTGGTCATATAGGCTGATGTATCTTATCTCTGTGGTCTAGATTCTTCCTTAGTTGAACATTATTGTAGTTTGCTCTTGGCTTCTTTCAAATAATTATCCTGTTCCAAGCATATAGAATCATAATTTTACCTGAGAGAGTCTCTAGAAACTTACCATTTATCACAGAATAGGAGGAAACAAATCAGGAAATAGTAGAAATCTTTCAAAACCAAGTCAAATACCATTACCAGCCCGGGATATGGCAGGAGGATCGTTGTGAGTTTGAGGATCAGCCTGGGCTACAAAGTGAGCTCAAGGTCAACCTGAACTGCATAGTGAGACCCTGTCTGGAAAAAAAAAAAAAAAAAAAGCAAATACCATTACCAGCCCTAAGCAGAGGGGTGAGTCTCCCTCCTGTGAGTCGGGCATCTGTTTCACTGTACTTCCATTGTACACGATAGTGGTTCAGTAAACTTACTCACCAATGTGAATAGAAGTGAACCTGTATTGAGCCACTTTTTTTCCTGCCTAGGATGAAGCAGAGAAAAAAGAAGAAAAAGAGAAGAAAAAGGAGCCTGAGCCAAACTTCCAGCTATTGGATAACCCAGCCCGAGTTATGCCTGCCCAGCTTAAGGTCCTCACCATGCCAGAGACCTGTAGATACCAGCCTTTTAAGCCAGTAAGTCGCCAAGAGTGTTTAGCTGTATGCGGCAGTGGGGTATTAATCTGTAGGGCAACCTAATGTTGATACAGAAGGGTAAATGGCCAGAACACTGAGTAGGCTCACTACTGCCAAGAACCTGCTCTAAGCAAGAGGGAACGTTCCCCTGTGTGCCATATAGGCTTTGAAGAGCTTTTGTTTTTTCTGGTTGACTCTGCAAACTCTGCTGTACAGCATGATTAGATACACAGACTATAGAGCCAGTTGTACTGGCTTGAATCTCGATTCTACCGTTCAGGCTATGGGACCTTGGGCCAAGTTCAGGTCCAGAAAGAGAAGACGGGGCAGAAGAATGTTTGAAGAAGTAGTAGCAGAACACTTCCCAATTTTGATGAAAAGCTAATTTCTACATCCAGGAAGCTCAGTCAATTGGAAATAGGATAAATCCAAAGAAGTCCACACCTGTATACATTATAATCAAACTTGAGAAAGAGAATTCAGCAAGGGAGAAGCAACTTATCACTAACAAATAAGTCATCCCCAATAAGATCAGAATGCGATTTTTTAATCAGAAATATGGTGACCCAGTGGCCACAGGGTGGCATATAGTACTAAAAGAAAAAGACTGAAGAATTTTGTGTCCAGAAATACTGTCCTTCAAAAACTAAAGAGAAATTAAGATATTCCCAGATAAACAAAAACAGAATTGGTTAGCAAACCTGCCTTATAGGAAGTAATAAGGAAACCCTTTGGACTGAAAATGACTCTGCTATCGGATACAAAAGTCACCTACACAGAGCAGTTACTATAGATAAATCAATGCTGATGTGAACAGTATACAGAGGTATAATTTACGTTATAGTAAGAGCACAGAGGGGTGCGGTTACACTCTTTCCAGGCGCGAAATTACTCTGTGCTATTGGAATTACACTGGTTGTTGATCAAACTAGATGCATAAGATATTAATTGTAATCTTAAGACTCTCCAAAGAAAATAACTCAAAAACATAAAGTAAAAGGAACAAGGTAATTCAAGTAAAATACTAGAAAATATGTATTTAATGCTGCAGAAGTCAGTGGCAGCAGAAGAGAGAAACAGTATCAGACATACAGAATGCAAATAGCAAAACAGCAGGCACCAGTCACACTTTATCAGTGATCTTGTGAGTGTAAAGCGTTACACATGCCAATTAAAAGGCAGAAGTTGGCCAGTGGGATTTTTTAGAAAAATGATCGAGACCTGGGCATGGTAGTGCATGCCTATAATCCCAGCAATGGGGAGGCTTAGGCAGGAGAATCACTGCAATTTCAAAGTCAGCCTTGGCTACATAGTGAGTTCAAGACCAGCCTGAACTGCATAGTGAGACCCTGGCTCAAAAGACAAAAAAAGAAAGAAAAATGATCAAAGCATGTGCTTTCTAAAAGAGACGTGCTTTAAATTTAGAGACACAAATAGATAACAAAGGATATGAAAAGGTATGCCATGCAAACACTGGCACACAAAAAAGAGCTACAACAGGCCCCTAATACAGACAAGGTAAACTGTCAGGCAAAAGTTATTGCTAGAGAAGATGATTAAATATTTTATAGTGATAAAAGAATTGATGGATCAGGAAGATGTAACTATTGTAAACGTGTACATAACAACAGAGCCCCAAAATATATGAAGAAACTGAGGAAATTGAAGAGAGAAGTGAAGAATTCAACAATAGTAGTAAGAGATTTTAGTGCCCCACTTTGAATCATGAGTGGAAGGACTAAGTAGAAAATCATTTAGAAGACTCGATAACATTATAAGCCAACTAGACTAAATCGGTCCACAGAAGAATCCATATGGTGGTAGCGGGATATATATTCTTCTCCAGTATACATAAGACACTCTCCAGGACAGACCACATCTCAGCCCATAAAACACATCTCAGTCAATTTAAAGGTAATGACATCATTCAAAGTATGTAGGGAAGTAGCTATCAGTAACAGAGGAAATTTGGGAAAATCACAAATATGTAGAGGTCACATAATAATACTCTTTCAAGTAACCAGCGTATCAAAGAGGAAATACATGGGAAATTAGAAAATACCAGTTCATTGTTTTAAACAGGCAGAAAAAATTTTTTAGAAAAAAAATCCAATAAAAATACAAAGAATTATGTGAAGCAATAATATTTTCAAAAATAGTTGGAAATAAAAAGGAAAACAATAATCACCAAAATTCACCAGACTCCACAAAAGCAGTGAATAGAGGGGATATGTTTAGCTAGAAGTACCTATATTAAAAAGGGAGACTAAAAATAATAAGATAATGTGAATAAAAAGATTTTTCTGCTACTCAGGAGGCTGAGTTAGGAGGATCACTTGAGACCAGGCGTTGAAGGCCAGCCTGGGCAGCAGAGTATGACCTTGTCTGGAAAAAAAATTAAATTTAAAAAAAAAGAAAGATCTCAAATTAGTAATCTTCCATTTTAAAAAGCTAGAAAAAAAGGAGTACGATGTAAACCAAACTCAGGCAGAGGAAGTGGATAAATATTAGAGCGGAAATTAATGAAACAGAGAGCATTACAAAACCAAAAGTTGGCTCTTTTTTTTTTCTTCTTTTTTTTTTAACAAATTAAGACAGAAAGAGGCTATTACTACCATACAAAAATAAAGTGATTGTGTGTGTAGTCCCAGCTACTCGGAGACTGAGGCAGGAAAATCACATAAGCCTAGGAGTTGGGGTCAGCCTGGGCAATGTAATGAAATTCCACTTTTTTTTTTTTTTTTTTTTTTTTTTGGTTTTTCTCCGGTACCGGGAACCAAACTCACGACCTTGCACTTGCCAGGCAGGCGCTTTTGCCGCTGAGCTAAATCCCCAGCCCCTGAAATTCCACTTTTAAAAATAAAAAATTAAAAAGGATTATAAGGTTTTACATTAGCAACTGCATATCAGTAAATCAGATATCCCAGATGAGATGGGAAAGTTCGTAGAAAGCTGCAAAACTACCAGACTTAACTCACGAAGAAATGGCAAATCTGAATAAATGTGTAAAAGCAAAAGGGTTGAATTAGAAATCAGAAAACCTATCACAAAGAAAAATCCAGGGGCAGATTGCTTCACTGGTGAGTTCTGTCAAACATTTTTTAAAGATTAACATTGGTACTTACAATTAACATTGGTACGTTACAAACTGTCTTTAAGAGCAGAAGAGGGGAGCTGAGCATGGTGACGCACGCCTGTAATCCCAGCACTCAGGAGGCTGAGGCAGCAGGATTGTTGCGAGTTCAAGACCAGCCTGGGCTACAAAGTGAGTTCACGACTGGCCTGAACTGCACAGTGAGACCCTGTCTCAAAAAGACCAAAAAAAAAAAAAAAAGAACAGAAGAGAAAGAGCATTGGCAAATTTCATTCAGAGAGGCCAGCCTCACCTCAATAGTGAAATTGGACAAGGCTGTTACACGCAGCCACAGTCCAACCTTCACGTGTTCGAAGATTAAAAAACAGTGTTTCACAGTGTCAGTAATGCTCAGTTTATGCTACAGATTTAACAGAATCCCAGCTGCCATTTTTGCAGAAATAGGCCAACTGATTCGAAATTCATAGAAAAATGCAAGAGACCCAGAATAGCCAAAAGAATCTTGAATAAAATTGAAGGAATCACACTTGCCAATGGCAAAACCTTTCTACAAAAGCACAGGAATGAAGACAGGTGCGGGTTGTTCTGGCATAAGAATAGACATAGGGAGGGAATGGAAATAAACTGAGAATCCAAAAGTAAACCTGCTCGTTGATGGTCAACGGACTTTGACAAGGGTGCTAACACCATTGATTAAGGAAAGAATAGTTCTTTCAAGAAATTATGCTAATAAGAGCTAAAAGTATAGAACTTAGTATAAACCTATGTGTACATCTTTGTAGCTTTAGGCATTGTTTTCTCATATAGGGTACAGGTTGAGTACCTCTTATCCAGAATGAGACTGGACTGTTTTGGATTTTGGAATGTTGGCATGTACATAATGAGAAAGCTTAAGGATGAGACCCAGATCCACATAGGATCTCATACACATAACCTAACGGTCACTTCAGACCTCAGTGTAAGTATAGCCGCCTTGTGGCTGCATTGTCACGTGAGGTCAGGTACAGAATTGTTCATCTCTGGTGTCATGGTGACACCCAAAAAAGTGTCACATTTGGGGCCAATTCATATTGAACATTTTCAGATTATATTCAACCTGTTCCTAAGGCAGAAGCAAACCCCAAAAAAAGGAAAAAAAAGATCAGTTGAATTTCATTTACTTAAATACTTCATGTGATGCTAGGAATCAAGCCCAGGACCTCACACATGCTGGGCAAGTACTCTAGCATTAAGCTGTCCCAGCCCTCAATTTAAAACGTTTATGCTGCAAATCACCCATCAAGATAGTAAAAAGACAACCCACAGGAGAGGAGAAGATATTTTCAGGTCATATGTCTGAAAAAGTATAATATTTTCAAGTCATATTTGTATCCAAAATATATAAGTAACTCTTACAATTCAATAGTATAAATAACCTAACTTTTTTTCCAACCTAACTTTTTTTTTTTTCCAGACAGGGTCTCACTATGCAGTTCAATCTGGTCTTGAGCTCACTTTGTAGCCCAGGCTGGTCTCCAACCTAACTTTTAAATAGGCAGTATTCTTTGTTTTTAGTTTTTGGGGGATGTGTATCTGGTGCTTGGGGTCAAATCCATAGCCTCATACATGCTAGGTAGGAGGTTCAGAGAATTTGACTAGACATTTCTCTAAAGAAGATACAAATGGCCGGTAAACACATGAAAAGATGCTCAGTATCACTAGTCACTAGGGAAATGCTAATCAAAATCACAAGAGATAACTAAAATCATACCCAAGAGAATGACTGTCATTTAAGAACAAAAGACATGATAATATGTTGGCAGCAATGTAGGAATGTAAACTATTGTATCCACTGTGGGAAACAGGTCAGCAGATCCTCAAAAAGTTGAATGTGTTCTTTCTGTTACCTGGTAATTCCATTCTCAGGTATATAGCTATGTGAAATGAAAGCTATTTCCATAAAAACTTGTACACTAGTGTTTGTATCAGGTGGAGGATCATGAGTTTGAGGCCAGCCTGGGCAACTAGCAAGACCGTGTGTCAAAATAAAAAGGCTGAGGATGTGGCTTAGTGCTAGAGCACTTGCCTAGCATGTGGAGGCCCCAGATTCAAGCCCCAATGCATGCCCCCCATCAAAAAAAGAATGAGTAATGTTTTTGGGTGGTTGGTTGGTTGGTTGGTTGTGACAGGGTCTTACTATATAGTTCAGGCAGTCCTAAACTCACTTTGTAGCCCAGGCTGGCCTCAAACTCACAGTGATCCTCCTGCCTCAGTCTCCCAAGTGCTAGGATTATAGGCATGAGCCACCACACCACCTATGTGAATATTATCCACCATTAAAAGGAAAGATATATTGATATATGTATAAAGATAGATAGGTAGATATATATATATATATATAACCTTGAAAAGGTTAGGCTAGGCGAAAGAGGCCATACTCAGAAGCCAGATACGTTACGCTTACCTCTACAGGAAGTGTTCAGAATAGTGTGATCTACAGAGTCAGAAGTTAAGATTCTTGGTCCCCGGGAGTGGGAAGGGAGGAAAATGGACAGTGACTCCTAATGGGTGCAGCGTTTCTGTTAGGTGGATGTGGATGTTCTCGAATTTGATAAGTGGTTGTACGAGTTTGTGAATGTACTCGAGTGTACACTTTAAGAGTACATTTTTGAGGATTGCGAGTTAGAGGCCAGCTTGGGCAACTTAGTGAGATCTTGTCTCAAAATTAAAAACTAAAAAGAGGTAAGGATGTAGCTAGTGGTAGAGTACTTGGCTAGCGTTCACAAGGCCCTGGATTCAATGCCCAGCACTATAAACAAACAAAGAAAAAGAGTGGCTTTTATGCCATGTGACTTAGGCCTCAGTTTATGAGAAGTGACTCACCCCCACCCTCAACAGCAAGGCCCTCAGACCCTCCTTGGGGGTGCAGTTGAAAGGGGAGCTGTTGTTGTGAAAGGGGGCTACATTCCTGCTTGGCTTCCTGTGCATCTTAGAGCAAAAGTGGAGTGCTTGGCAGCAGGAAGTGTGGTGGAGCCTGTATCTTCGTCCTCCTCCGCCTACCTAAAGATTGTATTGCAGGATCCGGGCTGGATTCTTTCTTTTCTATTAAGCATGAAGTGTTAGTTATAACCTAGAGCTACATATTTACAAAAAATAGGAAGCCCTCCTGTGAACATATGTGTTTTTGTCTGTTTGGTAGCAGATTCTTGTCTGTTTGTCCATTAGAAAGGTTGAGTAATCTTGAGGCCATGAAGGGTTAGGACAGTGATCTGATGCTTTGTCCTTGGGGTGAGTGCTGGTATTGAGGCAGAGTCCATTTGCCAAATGCCTCCAAGACAGGCCAGCTCTTTAAGGATTGTAGGTTAAAGTGTGTAAGTGTGTACATTGGGAGAAGGGGATCATTTAGAAATTCAGTAAGGCACACCGGTTTTATAGCATAGCAGGGCAGAGTCCTGACGAGCACAATCCGATTACAGTCCACTGCAGAGAGGCTTATACATATGTAAATTATTTGAGTAATGTGCTTGTGCTTCTTTTCCTTCCCAGTAATGTGCTTTGGTAGAAATATGCTTTTTCCAGATGTACCCTGCCACTGTTGACTGATTTAATTTCAGAGAGCAGCTTTCCATTTCCTTTGACACAGGGAAGCAAATAGAATAAGATTAGCACAGCCAGAGATGGGTAAATAGTTTGGTGTGTGGATTTACCTTCTGCTAATATGTTGAGAAAGGGCTTAATAGAGTCCTGCTACAGTCTCCCTGCCCTATGTCTTCCCTCAGTTTGTATTAGCTTGTATCACAGGGGTTTATAGATGTCTCTGTGGTATTTATATTGTTTTCTCCACCCTTCAGCAATTGCTGGGGGAAGTGGCTTTTCACTTGTGAATTTTCTTATATCCAAAATGAGTCATCTCCCAAACCTGACAACCACTGATGTGCGTTCATGTCACCTGGGGATCTTGGGGAAGTACAGCTTCTATGGATCCGAGCAGGACCAGTCTTTCAGATAAAAGGGGCTCTGGCCCAGCACCGACAGCTTGAGCAGGAAGGCAGCAGGGTGTGCAGCAACAGGCACTGAACTGGAAAATGCTAGCGTGAAACCGGGTGCAGCCTCCACACGGCAGCGTCACGTGCTCTGTCCTGCAGCACCGCCGGCTCAGCTTGGCAGATACTCCACAGAGGTCGCGGTTTTCTTTACCCTTTTATAGTTTTCCCCCAGCTTTTTACCTGCACATCTGCACGGCGGTGTGACAGATGTGCACTGTAGTTGTCGAATACCCTGACGCAGGAGCCGGGCTCATGCTGTGCGTCCTGTGTGTTGACAGCTCTCCATCGGAGGCATTATCATTCTGAAAGACACCAGCGAAGACATCGAGGAGCTAGTGGAACCCGTGGCCGCACACGGCCCCAAAATCGAGGAGGAAGAGCAAGAGCCAGAGCCCCCAGAGCCCTTTGAGTATATCGATGACTAAGGGACCAGACGTGAGTGTCAGACTGTACAAGTGTTTCATGCAAGGACGTTGTCTCACTTTCCCCCTCCTTGTCTACCGACATGGTATGAAATTTCCCCTTTCTAACCCTTTTCTGCATGTGTAACCAGATTCCTTTTCTTCTCTAACCCTGCCCTGCTGTACTTTACCAGTGCTACTCAGTGGCTTTCTGTAAATCTTGTAGGCCCTGAGGATGGAAGATCGCTGCGGCATGTGAGCCTGCTCCGTGCTGCTTTCCTCAACAAAGTCCCACCCAGCATGGTGCTCTTGCCCGTGATCTCGACACTCTGAGGCAGAGGCAGGAGGATTGCACATTCAAGCTCAGCCTGGGCAACTTAGTGAGACCCACCTCTCAAAGTAAAACAAATTTTTTTAAAAGGGGGACGTAGCCAGGCATGGTGACGCATGCCTGTAATCTTAGCTCTCAGGAAGCTGAGACAGGAGGATCTCCATGAGTTCAAAGGCCAGCCTGGGCCGCATAGCGAGACCCTGTCTCAAATAAAATAAAACAAACAAAAGCTGGGGCTGTAGCTCAGTGCGTAGGTCCTCAGTTCAGTCCCCTACCTCCTGTTTCGTATGCTCCGTGCAGTGTGCGTGTACATTCTGATGTAAGCATTGTCCGTAGATCGCACTTTGAGTAGCACAGGCATAACTTCTGATCTTTCACCCTCTCTCTCAGAAATACTTTTGACTCTAAAAGCCTTAGCATTCATTTCTTGGTGGATCTTGAAGACCTAATGTACGTAAGACATGCTGTGTGCTGGGAGTCAGGGGTCAGTCAGACCACTCCGCAGAGCTCTGTACAGTTGCAGATGACCGTTTGCCAGTGTTCTAGCAACGTGGAACCAGGCTTCAGGTGTGAAAGATGCAGGAAGCGGCCACTCTAGTTCCACCCAGTGCACATGTGAAGACACGAGCAATACGGAAGCCGCTTTTGCTAGTTCTAACCTAGCATGCATTTTCATAAAAATATTAATGTATTCTACTGTATAGGACAGTGTCATTTCTTATAACCAAATAAAAATACACAGACTGGTGGCACATCTAGCCTGGTGAGTATTAAATATTGACTAGCAATTAATGGAAGCTTTAGGGAAATCTCAGGTAAATATTAAGGCAGATTACTAGGAAAATGTATTCATGCCTTAGAGAGCGGGGGATTTATACTAAGTGCTTTGCTATATAAATTTGCTTTTGAAAATTGTCTTTACAGCTTGATGGTCCCCCACTGCACGATCGCCCAGCCTGTCACAGAACTGAGTTGACTCGAGTGGCCCCTTCCAGCCTTTCATACTATCTCAGTGAAGCCCCCCATGATACTTTTTGAGGCAGTTACCCACAGAATGACTTAGCGGTCTGTAGCTGGAAACTGGATTCTTACTGGTTTTTAAAAGGATAAAAATACTAGGTCTGTTAGAAGTTTGGAAACTGGCATATTAGGACTCCAGGGGCAGGGTTAGAGATTTAAGTCTCGATAGCCTGTTGTTTTAAAAAGTTTGAAATAAAGAATGACACTGCTTCCACCCGCTTCCCTCCTCTCCCCTCCCCACCCAGGACCTCTGGCTGCTCCGAAGCCCGGCTGGCCGTGGGGAGAGCGCGGCGCGGGCCCCCAAGGGACCGGCTCCTCCGTGCACGTAGCCTCGCTCTGCGCTCACCTCACGAACTCGTCTCCAAGTCTTTGGCTGAAGAGAAAACACGACTATTTGGTGTGCTCTTTCACAGAACTTGGTTTTCAAATAAATATATTAAAACCTCCAGATGGGCAAGACTCGGTTGGTTGTGATTTTTTAACCTGGGTTTTAATGGTTCAAATTACCTCCACCGAGCAGTACCTAAATGCAGAGAACTAAGTCATGAATGCGGTAGGAGCGTGTGAGACACTGGTGGATAATGAGGCTGTTCTGCACCTGCGGATGTGAGGGTGCTCGTAATTGAGTGTGACGGTCACGCGCTCCTTTTTCCTTGCACAGTAATAGATGTCTTCAATTGTGCATTTTTAAAAAGCACGTAGCTTCCCAATTTACCCGAGGCACTCTGCCCCTCCCTTGCCATGCTAATTCAGGTCGTCTGAGTCTGAAAACTAAGGAGAAACAGGTCCTTAGTGGACGAGCCCTAGCACATCGGTCTGCACAGCCTGAGGTTAGGTCCGGGGCTGAAGGTTACTGAGGTAGATGGCTCCACTAATTGCATTGCGTCTCCTCCTGTGTAGAGCCTTCGTTTCCGCAGTATCAGATGATTCTATAAAGGAGATTATCTCATTTCCTAGCCTCTCATTAGCTATGGCCTTCCTGTTGGAGCTGTAACACTGCCTGCATTTTAAACAGTTATCTCTTCTATTTCCCTTCATACACAAATGTTCAAAAACCAGAAATCTCACAACAGTATCACTGTCAAAATTGAATGGGGGGGGAGCGACACAGTCACTGGCCTTCTGCCCACCTTCCTGCGTCCTTCTAGAGGAGCAGGCCGGACCCGAGAGCAGTGCACACCGGCTCCTGCCCAGCAGCGCAGCTCGGAGTCCCAGCCTCAGGAAGGATGGTGTCGTGTGAGGAGGGCGGGCTGCACGGCGGAGCAGCCACTTGGGTCAGATGATGAAGCTGCCCAAGAAGCAGAGAAATCCAGAGCCACTAGAACAGCGTGGACTAAAGTCCTGTGAAGACGGTGGGAGTAGCAGGGATGGGAGCAGGGAGGCCCGGGTGGTGTTGTGGTGGCACATGGTGGTACACAGAACAGTGAAACCAGGAGAATAAGTGGCTTCGTACATTGGACCTAATCCTAGGAGCCAGTCTCCTGGTCTGCAGGGAAAGGACTGCTCGCCAGGTGTGTGGCCCAAGCCTGTAATCCCAGCACTCCGGAAGATGAGGCAGCAGGATCACAGCAAGTTCAAGGCCAGCCTGGGCTACACAGACTATGTCAAAATACCATGGAGAAAAAAACGCCTTTTGATATTCTCTAATTTTCCCTTCTGTCTTAGACCTCCCTTTTATTTAACAGATTGTGTAAGTGCAGGGATTCTTTGGTCCTTGGGCAGGTCCCACTGCCCTGTAACTGCTGGCCATCCTCAGGAACTGGTGTTTGGTCATCTTCACAGTCTGTGCTTTCTCCAAGCAGTATCACCCATCCTGTGCATCTTCGTGCTGGTGGTTCTGATGTCCGCATCCAGCTCAGACCTTGCTTTCCTCCGACTCCTAGTGTGCACATCCAGCCACCCAGGCATCTGAGCTTGGTCTGCGTGGCTGTGCTTGGCCTGTCCGGTAGCCCTGTGTCCAGCACTCTGCTCCCACTACTCCCTACTCCCAGCGGGAGAATGGCGCTGGCCGCCGCCTCCTCCACTCCAATCTTTTTGTTGTTGTTCTGGGAATCTAACTCGGGACCTTGTGCTTGCCAGGCAGGCACTGTGCCACTGAGCTAAATCCCCAGCCCTTCCTCCACTCCAAATCTATCTAAAATGCAAACCATGTTGGGCTCAGTTGAAAAGCTTTCAACGCTTCCTCATTGCATAAAGCCCAGGCCCTGGCCTGTGTGTTCATAGCTGTCCGGGCTGAGCTGCTGCTTCCTCCCCAGCCTGCTCTGCAGTCCTTGCACCTCACACTTGGAGCTCCTTCCACTTCCTCCAGGGCCCGCGACCTCCTTGCCCCTGCACATCCCGTTGCCCCTGCCTAAAGTACCCTCCTGTTGCAGCCCTCTGCAGTTTTGGTCTAGATCTGGTAAAGCTCTTGGAATTACAGTGGAGATATATTTTGATGACCCTGTCCTAAGCTTAACCTGTCAAGCATCATAGCTTGGCAACATTGGTCGTCTCCTCTACTGACTGCGCAGCTGGATGTAGCTGCGGCTCCCTGAGAAGATCTGGCTGCATATCAGCCCAGGAAATACTCCAAATTCAAAATTTTAAGTGCATTTCACTGATACTGCCTTTGCAGTATCTTAAGTTGAAAAGTTAGAAGCCAAACCATCCTGAGTTGGGGACATGTAGTGATATAGTCTGTTTTTAGAGACTTGCTCTCAGATTCTTCTCACAAGGCTCAGGCTAGCTCCCCTCCGCTTCCTGTGGACCGGGTCCTGGCCCTGTGGTCCTCATGCCGCACTATCACCCATTGCGTAGTTCAACTATCTGAACCCCACCCTGTAGCTGTCTTGCGAACTGCTCTTGGGAGCGGCCATTAGCTGCCACAGCTAAGACTAAGAGAATAAGCTCAGTAGTGTCCACGAGCAGGAGGCACTTGCTGCTTCTGTCTGGAGCTGCCTTCCCGTGGGCCTGATGTTTATCTTCACTTCCTGCAGTGACTGTATTCTCCCCTGAGAACTGGTTTTTAGTAGGTTTTGCTTGTGAGCAGGCCTGGCTCCTCTTTGCAGCACACATGGTGTCTCTGGAATCTCACTGGCACAGGATAGGGAAAATTGAGTTCTAAGACGCTTTGGTGGCTTTATCCCAGCTGTGTCCCCAGCCTTAAGTCCAGCATCCCTGACGCACTTGCTCTGTCCAGAGAAGCCCTCAGCAAGTGCTTCTGGATGTTTTAAGAATTCAAGTTCCTTGACAGGTGAGTGGTCGATGCCAGTCCACATCAAATCATGTCGTGGAAACACCAAGGACTCCAGCTCCAGACTGGGATTCAGGTCCTGCCCCTGCCCTTTCTTGGCTTCCTCATTTGTGCAGAGGAAATAGTATTGGCCTCAAGGTTGTTGGAGACTATGAGCCGGGCGTGGTGGCGCACGCCTGTAATCCCAGCACTCGGGAGGCTGAGGCAGGAGGATTGTTGGGAGTTCGAGGCCAGCCTGGGCTACAAAGTGAGCTCAAGGTGGGCCTGAACTGCATAGCGAGACCCTGCCTCAAAAAGACAAAGAAAAAGGTGGTTGGAGACTAAATAACAGCCCACTGCTACAGGCTGTGAGGGTTGGGATCCAGATGTGTCCCCAAAGGCTCATCATGTCGAAGACTCACTGGCCAGCTGAAGGGCTTCAGAAGTGATTGATCTTGGGGCTGTAATGGTGCCAAATGGATGCAGCGCAGGGGAGTTCTTTAGCCGAGTGGGCTGTTGGGAGGAGGGGCCTGGTTGGAGCAAGTATGTCACAGGTGCGGGTGGCTGAAAGGGTGTGTTTCATGCCTTGTCCCAGCTCTTCCCTCTCTCTGCTTCTGTCTGCCATGGAGTCAGAGGGTTCCTTCCTCTTTTAAGTTCCTCTTCTCAGGAATCTCATCACAGAGAAGGGAAGTGAACACAGGCCTACTGTGTGCTAGACACTGCTGAGCGCCGCTTCCTCCCGCGCAGCCACCTGAAGAGAGAGCTGCTATGTCTAGACATAATTCAAGCAGACAGCCCAGCGCTGGATCGGAACGGCGTGGCCTGTCGGCTTGCAGTGAGGACACTCCAACTGAAACAACTTGCTGAACACTGAAGGCCATTGTTACAGCTGGCTTCAGGTTTGTTTCCTGTCTTTCCGTTTAACCGTCTTCCCAGAGCCTTCTGGCCCCTCGCTCTTCTGGGAGCGCTTGCCTCAGCAGGTCAGCAGACCCACGGTGAGCACTCTGCCCATGCTGCGTCCCTACCCCCTGGAGATTTGTGTCTCCTTCACACTCCTAAGCGTCCTCCTCGCAAAGGCCGCGTTAACAGGAGCTGCCCTGGGCCCGGCATAGGCTGTTGGCTTCGAGCACTTCCCATCTGTGCGCTGGGATGGGCAGTTCCGCTGGGGCATAGAAACGCTGTGTTTTCCAATCAGCGAGTTAATGATGTGTAATAAAGTTGTATCCGGGAGATAATTACCTTGAAAGGTCTTGGGCATTCCTGGAGCTGGGACTTGGCGAAGAGTTGGACAGATAGCGCATTTCCCATCAAGTCCCGTTCCCATGACCCGGGGCGGGCAAACTCTGACTCTGGTGCTGGCGTGTCAGGGAAACCCTGATTCATGCCACAGATGAAGAGGTTTGGGAGCATCCAAGCTGCTTGCTTCTGCTGGGCATGAACTAGCATGCTGCAAAGAAGGGCGGGGGTTGGATCTCAGCAAAACCCTGCCTGGATTCCTGGGTTAGGGGCTGGGGGAGGGGGGCGCTATCTGCCGCCCCCATCCTCTCCTGTGAGCCGTTCTCAGGCAGGTAGGACAGCACCTGCAAGGCGACTAGTGCTTCAGCGGTTTCCTGTCTTCCGTGTGTTCGTTTTGTTTCCAAAGAAATCTATAAATCGGTTCTTTAAAAGCAAGCCCCAAGTAACCCCCAAAGTCCCTGCCTTGGTACCTGAGCGATAGCTCCTGTCGTCACTTCAGCTTTGTGGGGGTCTGGTGGGGCGCTCGGCCCTGGCTGATTTCTGTCCGCAGCGCGTGTAGCCACCTGGAGTACTGTATGTTTATTTACGGCCTCTTCCCACCCCCATGGGCACATGAACTTAACAAGCATCACTGGTTTTGATGATGGCCTCCTTATAGCAGCCAGAGCGGCACCTGGCTCATCGCAGGCGCCCAGGAAATATCTGCTCGATGGGCAGGTTCGATGTGCATGGCGCTCCTGTGTGGGGGGCACTGCGATCAGCACTGTCCTCTTCACATGATTCTGTTCTAAAGCCAATGCTGCTCTCCCCATTTTACAGATAAGGAAATGGGCTTTTAGTGTGGAGGGCACACAGTAAGGTGCAAGACTAAAATTCAAAGCCAGGTCTCACTACAAAACCTGTTTGTTGTGCTTATTTCTTTTTCTTTTTTTTTTGGCCTTTTGTTTGAGACAGATCTGGCTATGCAATTCAGGCTGGCCTTGAGCTCACTTTGCAGCCCACTCACAAACGA